ATTCTATTGCTAATTTAGTTTTGATTGTGTTTGGGTAAGTCGCCCTAATCTTCTCTACTAGCCTACTTTACGCTTATATGCTGGGTTTGGAGTTTTAGAGTTAGACGGGTATGCGCAATCAAGCAAATCGAGGTTAGTTATATGAATAGGGACCTATGGTGGTCGAGGCGACCGAACCCCTGCTATAGGTAGCCTATCTAGATAGAACCCATGATAAAACCTTGGTGTGGACGGTGGATAATATCCATTGAATGGAGCTACGAGCTAATGCCCCAGATATGATAGCGTAGATCGAGGTGACTTTACATGAGTTTAGAGGAGGCGTATTCGGAGGCGTGTGGATAACCACGAAAGCCCGCGGAAAAGAGCTCACTCACCATATTCTCTTAACCCTACTTGACAACCATAGCTAGGAGGATTCGACCCTAGGCAACCATCTCATCTCTAGCGTTCTCCGAGCCACTTGGTTGGTTATTTAGGAGTAGATTATGTTAGACTTTTCACCCAACTTCCGATTCGATTAGATAGTAGTTCGGAGCGAAGTAATAATAAGCTTAGGGATCCCTTGGAATACAACCGAGCCACTTTACTACAACCCTAGCTAGGTTAAACTTGGCTTAGTTAGAATTGAATAGAAAGTGTGCATCGACTTATAAATTTAAAGCTCGATCACACAAAGCGTTATCAGTCTCAAACCTGTACGAGTTTACGGGTACCCATTAACCGTATGAGACGGATAACGGGTACCCACGGGTAACCCATATTTCTTTAAATCAATGGTGTTGCTACTGGAGAAATTAGTAAGAAGCGGGGGCAGCCTATTGATTTCGATATGCTATTTGTGAGGTTTGTTTGTACACACTATCACTGTTAAGTTGTTAAGTGCATGTTTCCTCAGGGAGCATTATAAGGGTTTTAGCATTTGAGGAATTGAGATATATGTTACAGAAAATTAAAAAGTTTAAGCACTCAAAAGTCAAAACTTACATAACATGAGAACTTTCGGGTTTTAGCATGTGAGGAATTGAGATATATGTTACAGGAAATTAAAAAGTTTATGCACTCAAAACTTAAATCACAGGAGAACTTTCGAAAGGTAAAACGTAAAAGTGAGTGGGAAGTGTTTTGTTTATGTTACGGGTAGGAAGGGTACCTGTAATACCCAAATGGGTATTAACAGGTAATCCTTGGGTACCCATTGTAGAATTTTTTATCTCAAATTCCTTTTCGTAAATACAATTACGGGTATTTAAGCATTCGTAACTCTAAAAAAAATGGGACGAGTATGGATATACTCATAGTAGCACACTCATAGTAGCAACATCTACTGCTATGCCGCGGGACTTAACTTGTAGCAACATCATTCTACTGTCATAGTAGCAAGAAAGGCGATCACTAACAAATATTAATAAATACAATTCATAAAAATAATTATTAAACGGTGATGCTCAAATAGTAATTAATATAACAATATGTAATAATTATTGGTCCAACAACCTTGAAGCTCGAAGCTGAACTCGTAATTGATCATCCTACAGGATTCTTGTGGCTTATTTAACTTTAAACAAAATAGATATGGTCAAACTTCGTCAAACACGTTCGAATCTGTAAGTTTTAACTATTTGGTCAAGTAAATTGAGTCAGCCAAACCGTTTCTCTCTCTACATTTTCCACAAAAACTTCTTCTCTCTAATTTACAATACAAATTCGAGCCAACAAAGAGATTTCGATTGGACTATGCAAACATTGACAAACTTGCTTTCGGAGTCAAACGGTGAACCCAAAACCGCCTTAACATTAATGTTAATTAATAATATTAATTATTTTATAATTATAAAGTAATTCAAATATAAAAATTCATAATTTCTCTCCTACTCCTCCCCCTTCCTTTCTTCTTGCACCCCAATTCGATTAAGGAGAAATGGTAAATTTGCATCGCGGTTATGCAGTCCTTACTATTACAAATTACTCAAACAAGTGTAAATTTGTTGAAAATTGAGTTTATCTCTCTAATTTGCATGCTTATCAAAACTGGGCCTGACCAACCGGTTAGACCGGAGATAATCAGATCCTGGTAGTGTTCTGGTTACGAAAGGCTTAAAACGGGCATAAATACAACCGCCCGGTTCTCGGGTGATTCAACCGGTTACTCGAAAAATCCGCCAAACCCGAACCGACGGTTTGGATACATTTTTACCTTTTCTAATTACAGTTTTAAAGTAATATATAAGTAAAACACGGCTGGAAAAGGAAATTTTGAATTAGAAAAGAAAAAATATAATAGATTAATGGGCCATTAAGATTAAAATCAAGTTAATAAGTGCAAATTAAATTAGGAAAGCATGAGTAGGGTAATTAAGAACCACCGCAGTGACCGCACCTCTATTTGGGTTTATTAGGTTTTTCCCATTAATTGCTATACAATAATTTCTTGTTAATTGTTATTAATCGTTTACCCTTTTTTCTATTAAACACTAGCTCTTTACTATTAGTTCAAACTCAAAATTTATTGCCCCCTCACGGAACAGTGTGTTCTTTGAAGGCATTTAGTCCATGGGCAGTGTGTTGGGTCGGCAATGGGCGCATCAAACAAATGAATTTTTGGAGTTGGGCGAAACTCAAGGGACATCAACTATGGTCAGCAGCCGTCGGCCGCAACCCTTGCCGGAGGGGCATACAAACCGGCCGCGGTGTACTTTGATGGGCTACCAAACGTGGGTCTCATGGGGCAATTGGGTCGGTCTTGTGTGATGGTTCAGGGTCCATCGTTGCGGCGGGCGGTCGATGTTTGCCAAGTATGTGTGATTCATTTTTAATTGAGTTATTGGCGTTGCGTGACACGTTGATTTGGTGTCAAGGTATGGGTTTGACATTGATCGATGTGAAGGGAGATGCGCAAATTGTGATTCAGAAGGTCTTGACTGGTGATGGTTGGGATTCCCAAGGTGGCGCTATTCTTCGAGAGATCCAAGATATCCTGAGGATTTTGCATTCAGGTTTTAGGGTCTCTTTTGTGCGTCGGTATTATAACAGAGCTGCCCATAGTGTGGCACGACGAGCATTGTCCCTCTTTCCAGTGGGTTGTATAGGTTTTGATTTTTGTTCGTGGGTTTGATCTTTGTGAACCACTTTTGTACTTATTGTTTTGGTTCTCGTTAATTCAAGTATCTTTTGGCAAAAAAAAAATCAAAATTTATTTCCCCCAGTTAATTGCTGTCAATCTTCAAAATACCAACTCTTTCAAATTACAACAAAAATTCCTTCCTATTTACATGTTTTCCATTTCGTTTGGTAAGCACGTAATGTAGAATTCATATATTTGAAGAATTCATGTATATTGTAGGTTGAGTTGTGAGAACTTGTGTAATATTAGAATGCATTATATTGTTTGGCTTGCATGAGTTTATGGTAGAACTCACATAATTTGGCATGAAATCTCAAATACTTTGGTAAACCCAAAGCATTTGAGATATCATGATCACATGAATTTTAGAGTTACATGGTGCACCAATATCATGATATCGGTCCAAAAATGAAACAAGAAAAACAGTGAAATCTCATATATCTTGTAATCTTGAAATCCGTGGGTAGATTACATGATTACCAAACCACCTAAGAAAAACTCTTTCCTATTAATTGAAACACAATAAATCATATGTTGTCTAGTTGTCCAACTAAATTGAGGTGCAGACCCCTAATCAGATTGTTCCTGATCCAATTATATTTTTTATAGTCCTATTATATTTTTATGGTCAAGTAACCTAAAAAAACTTGCAAATTCTCCACGTTGTGTTTCCTTCTGTTACTTTCAGATTTCGTTATTTTAATTTAAGCTTTGTAATCACTATAAAACCATAATTGTTTTTACAGATGGTACATATGTTACCGGTTTTATGACCGATTTACAATACCAGTTAAACAACGATTATCGATAAACTTTAAATCTCTCACTGATCCGGATCGATACAATGTTCGGTTTTGACAACATTTGCTAATTTGCACCCATTCCCCCTCTACCAAACAGAGTGATAAATAACTTGAGTGAAAAGAGCTAAGAAGAAGATCACTGCATAAAGCATCTACAGGGGAGGAATTTGTTTGAGTGGAACTTTGTTCAGCAAATCCTTGGCAATCAAGTACATATATCCCTTCCCCTTTTCCTGCGTAAAATTTTCCTCTTTCCAGTTTATGTGAGACCCAACCAATGAGTTTCAGAAACCCTTTTTCTTAAAGCTTGATGATTTCGCTACCCACTCCGCCGGAAGCGACGACCTCCGCGGCGCTTCCCTTTCCGTTACGTACAAGGACAAAAAAAAAAAAAAAAGCCACGTTAAACCATATTTCTTTTTCCTCTATAAATTTCAGGCCAACCATGCAACAACAAAAAAAAAAAAAACAGAGAGAGAGACACGGTCACCAGGAGAAAAAATTGGTCGGATGAGCGACGAGCAGGGCCGGTGGGCAAATCTCCTGCCGGAGATTTTACGCTCAATCCGTGAGAGATTATCGTGGAAGGATTATTTCTCTTTCAGACTGACATGTCGTGATTGGAATTTCTCTGCCGAACTCGACCACGGCATCTACAAGAAGATCAAGTATCCGTTCCTGTTGCAGTATTCCAAGGTCACTAAAACTGATGATTCATCGCCAGCGCCCTCCAGTTGGTGTCGAGCCTACTCCCCTGCCTACAATAAAAAGTATTATCTGCGCGCACCGAATGAAGTTTCCGACACTTGTATTTCCTGTGCGCGCTATGGATGGTTGCTTTTCTCCGGAGTATGTCGAATTTTCTTTTATCGCCCCTCTACGGGAGACATCATTCATAGGGATGGCAGAATTACCCATGCCCATTGGGTTTTAAATATCCAACCCATGTGGGTCAGGTTTGAAATCCAAGTCAACTTTAAATGGGTAAAGTCTAATGGGTCAACACCCATACCCATAATGTTGGGTCCAGTTGGGTTTTACCCATGGATTTGGGTTAAAAAACCCAAACCCAAGTAATTAAACGACAAGAAAAAACCCACGGTCAGTCGGTCACTCGATCAGCTCTTCGGCTCTTCCTATCCTATCACTCTCGATCTCGAGACGTCAGACCGCCGTCGACCCTTCGTCGGCTTCCATCGTCGGCTCTTCCGGGGAGCAACCATCGTCGGCTCTTCCGGGGAGCAACCATCGTCGGCTTCCTCAATACCGCCGACGGCTTCGCGACTCGCCAGACGCCAGCTCCTCCTATCCCTCTCAATCGGTCGGATTCCGAAGATCCGGGGAGCAACCATCGTCTCCCACCCCCTCAACACCGCCGGCGGTTTCGCGATTCGCCGGTTCGTCCTCTCCCTCCCGATCTCCTGCTCTGCTCGCGATCCGGGGAGCAACCATCGTCGGCTTCCTCAATACTCGCCAACAGCTTCGCGAATCACCTGCTCTGCTCGTTCTCTCCCTTTCAATCTCGAGACCACGAGAAGCCCACTCCGCCAGGCTCCAGGTATTGTTCATCTTACGATTCTTACCCTATGTTTTTGAACTGGGTTTCTGAATGGGTCTTACTAAATAACGAATCTTAGTTGTGAATTGGGTATGAAGTGTGATTGGTAATGGAGGGGTATATTTCTCTCTGAGGACTTCTGTGATAACGAATCTTCGTGTCCAACGTCTGTTTTGCTTGGTAATGGAGGGGTATTTCTCTCTGAGGACTTCTGTAGCTAGTCTCGATGCCACTACTGCAGGTCAAGCTGCCTCTGCTTTCCATTTTTGAACAATATGTCGATTTGTTCTGTCATTTGTTCTGTCATTTGTTCTGTCATTTTTTAACAAATATGTCGATTTGTTCTGTCATTTCTTCAGTTCTAGATTTATGTTTCCTGCTTGTGAACTTAGTTTATTCAATTTGACTACTGCTTTGACAGTTTGCTGCTTGTGAACTTAGTTTAATTCTTATTTGGTTGAATAATTGTGTTGTTGTAGCTAGTTTGAATGATTGTTTGTTGCTTGCTTGATTTTTCTAGGGAAACATGGCTTCAGAAGTTAAATTTTTGTGTGAAAGTGCTATCCTATAATTTTTGTGTGTCTGAAAGTGTTACAGAGAAGCTTAATTCAGCACTGGGCTCTGCCACTGCTCATTCTGCTGCTAATTTGAATTACTGGAAACATTATGTTCTCTCCTTTCTTTTTAATTCTATTAGATGCTGCCTTTTCTTTTCTTGTCAAAATGTGGGCTGGACGTTAACTTTTTTGCAACTGCAGCAGCAGCAGCGTTAATTTCCTTCTACTTTCACCCATTAATCTCATCCACAGGCTGCTTCTTCTGCACCAGTACTATAAATTACCCAGTAATGTATCAACACAGCCTTACTTGCTGTCTCTAAAGCTAACACACCTTTGTTTTTGTGGAAAGTAGTCATTACATCCTTCTTCTTCTTCATCATCATTCATACCGTCCATTTAATGGGTGATGTTGGCTGTCATTTTGCAGGTGTGACCATCTTCTCTTCAGACGTTGATGGTTCGACTCAAACCATATTCTGTGAGAATGATGGCGGTGATGATGAACAAGTTATGGAATATGAGGACTGAGAGAGTAAGGGTGATCTGTGGGTTGCTATTGTTGTTGTTGTTGGAAGGGTAGATTCCTTGTCTTTTGGTCACTTGTTTTGATGGTTGATAACATGTTCTATTACTGTCTGTGGCCAACTGATTGAGTTGTGTGAATACTTTGGTTCTTCTGGGTTTGCAGCACTCCAACTGAAGTAAAAGAATGCACATTGAAGGGAAGGATGGATTGACCAATTCTCAGTTGTATGCACTTCCTGAGGGCTCTGTGTTTTGGTGGCGCAGACTATTTGGCCTTGCACGATTCTGAATATCAAGGGACGGTGGATTCATGAAGAACAAGTTTATGGTCAATCAGAGCCTAGGCTGTTTGGTACTGTAAAAACTTGTAGTGTTGGATTTCTGATTGGAAAGTAAACATTGTATGAACAAGGAAGTGACCAAACTCTGAACCCACAATCTGCTTGGAAATCCTCGGCATCAAGCATTTGTTCTTTCTGTCATGGTAGAGCCTCAAAACAACAACAACAGTTTCTTCAATTGCCCTCTCTGTCACTTCTGCATTTTCAAATCAAGACCATATTATCAGAAGATGAACAACCAAACAGTAACATATTACACTAAAGTTCCCCAAATAAGATTATCTAAATTTACCAATCACTGGCCAAGCAGGATTCTGAGCAAAAACCCTGCCAGCATATTCCAATTCCTCCCTCACATGATCCATCTCGGCATAATTACTCCTCGATTCATCGCTAAATCCCAGAGTCTTCGCTCTAGCTCTGCGAATCGCTTGCAGAACATGCTGGTTAATCGTCAGCCAAGCACAGCCACATCCCCACAATCTGCTTCTCCTGCTCCTCTGCGCCACCCTCCCACTAATGGCCGCCGCCGCCGCCCAACAGAGGAAACCGTCTGTCGCCGTGGAAGTGGAGAGGGCAATAAGCCGCAGTGGGTGGCATTGGGTGTTGTACAGACATATAATCCCAGACGCAAAGTTCCTCGTAGTGACATCCGGCAACAACACCAATCTCACCGCCGCCGGCGCCGCCGACTCTCGAGTCCGATTCGTCATCCTCCCCGTCGTGAAACCGCCGCCGGACACCGATCCAGCCTGATTCCTGCCCACCATCCTCGAGGGCTCGAAGCGCCACATCAAGGAATTAGTCGGATCTGACGTCGCACGACTCGCCGGGTTCGTCGTCGACATGCTCTGCTGCACGGCGATGATGGATTTGGGTAGCGAGCTCGATGGTGAAATCGCCACCACCCACCAGCTTTTCCCGGAGAGCACCGGCGTCCGGCATCATCATTCATCATCCTCGCCTGTCAGTCGGAAGCATTCGGCACCGGCGTTCGTCACCGGCGAAGCAGCTGGAACACGATGGTTGTTGAATGTTGACAGCCAAAGTTACATTTTAGTACCTGAAGTTTTTAAGAAGATACAAATAAGTTCAACATCATTTGTGGAAAATTATATTTTAGTACATTAAAAATTTTGCTTTACATTTTAACACCTAATAAAAAAAACATATACAGGTGGGTCCAAGGAGATGGGTACCCAAGCCCAACCCATACCCAAAAATAAAATCCAAACCCAACTCCACCTACCCAAACATTATCCAAATCCATATAGAATAAATCCATACCCAACCCATATAAAATGGATATAATTGGGTTTGGGCAAAAATACCCATGGGTGGGTAAATTGCCATCCCTAATCATTCACTTACCCTATTACGAGCGAAATCTTCGTGGCAGCTTCAACCGGATGAGTTTCTCTGCTCCGCCCACGTCCCCTGATTGTGTGGTTGTCGGTCAACTGGATATCGACTCTGCGAAAAAAACTAGGATCGTCTTTATAAAACGAGGACAGAGTTGCTGGAATCACGATCAAGACGCCCCCAACATGATGAGATTGAAGAAGCACAGTCCTAAAAAGTTAGTGGCGGGAAATGCCAAGAAGAAGTCTGTTGTGAGAGTTAAATCCAACGGCTGCAAATTAGTGAATTTGAGCAAGTACTCTGGATGCAGGGGAAATTTCTTCTGGCCTCACTACAATTCCTCCCCGCTTTTCCACAGAGGAGCGTTCTATTGCTTGGCTCAGGATGGAAGGCTGGGGGTCTTGAATCACAAGGCGAAAAGCAAGGACAAAATCTGGAGGGTGTTTGATACATCAGCAGCCGACATTTTCAGAGACAACCCGGGCAATGAATCTTATTTAGTGGAGTGCAGGGGAGAGTTGGTTGCCATCGTGGTCGGTCCGATGGGGAAGTTGGTGAGAATTCTCAAATTCTACGAGCCTGCACGAGTATGGCGGATTGTTCATGATCTCGAAAATCAAGTGATTTTATTGAGCCCCGCAGGATGTGTGGCCATGGAGTGCGACGAGGCGGCAGGATTGAGCAGAAACACTATTCACTTCCCGAGGTTTCGTGGGCGAAATCACCACCATGTCTTCTACTCGCTCTCGACCAGGCGGTTCCACTGCTTCGACGAGGAGGAGGACCATACGTGGGACAACTTGTACGATACGAAGCTCCCGCTGGTTCACGCTTGGATGACTCCAACTTTCCCTTCTCCTAGCGGCGGAGGACAAGACTGGGATTGGTCGCGGAAACTGATCAAGCGTCCGAAAAACCGTATGATACATCCGCATTATTTGGTAAGGAACTTGAGCTTCACACAACCACCAAGTGATGATGAGCATTCGATTCCGTTGCAACGTCCTAAGCAATTAGAAGCCGCATGTCTTGTTTTGAGGAGGAGTGGAGAAGGAGAAGCGGGGGGGCTGATCGATTTAAGCGGCAAAGGGATGATCGACCGCACGGAGCAACTGGCACTCAGGATGGGTTCCAAGGCGGTGTACTCCTCCGGCAGTAGTCTTGATCATGGACATTTGCTGGTGCTGATGGACACCAAGGTTCGTTCTTGCTCTTTGTTGTATCCCTCATCCATGGCTGAAATCCCACTACCCACATGGGAAACCGATTTCACCTGCGGAGATGTCGTGGTTCATGCCAAGTCCTCCAAATTGGTCGTGATGGTTTTCGGTAGGATTGATGATGAAGAAGATGGAAAACCGTCGATTAAGGGTAAGGATGTTGCAATGGTTTGGAGAGACGGTGATGACAAGTGGTCAATGCATACCAGAACAAGCGAGATAGGAGTCGATGCAATGACCGAAAAATTCGTCGTCCACCAGGGTCAGATTTATGGCTACCTTGATTACTATAAACATCTGGTCGTGGTTGAGTTGAGAATGGGGGAAGAAGAATATGTGATTGAGAAAACACAGGTGTCGGGCCCGCAATTCTTCAGTCCAGGGTATGTTTGCATCGATGGACAATTGGTGGAATCGTGCGGCGAGCTCTTACATATAGTCGAATGTTTAGCCGGCGAGTGTCTCGGGGAAGACGATATCGGGGCTACTACAGGCGTGAGAGTCTACAAGCTGGATTTCCACGCCATGGAATGGAGGGTGTTAGAAGACTTGGGCGACCGTGCATTTCTGTGGAGTGAATTGGGATGTTATGCCTGCTGTGCAAGTAAATCCGGGTTACAAAGGAATAGTATTTACTTCCTCAAAGGGAGCAGTAGAGACTTGTGCGTTTATGATTACGGAAAACATACCATTTCGATAACCTTGGCTGGCCCCGAATTGGATGACAGTTGGATGGGAGGTGAGTTTATCATGTTGCATAACTAGCTAGCTAGGAGGGGAATCAAGGTTATAGTTCATCATAGTTACTACTTTGAATGTGGTAGTTTTTATTTTCTTGTGATAGAATCCTTAGTTGTTTGTAAATTGTAACTAGAATAAACACCCACGGCTACGCCGCGGGGACTTAAATTACACCAATATCATTTTCTAATCAGTAGTTAGGAGATTGTATCGGTGACTTGCAATGGGAGCAAACATCACACTGAAAACATTACCAAGAGAATGCTTAATAATCTGCCTAAAATGGTCAAAGATAGAGCCTGCATGATACCACAATCCAGTTGCAATTTCATTGTCCACGTTCTGCACCTGTTGTTGTGCGACAATTCCTGGTAATTTGTTGAAGAAAACACCAACGATGTCTTTCCTTCCTCTGAAGGTTGAGTTTCATCATTAAGAGTATTTCCTTATCCTCAAAATTATCGAACTTTGATATCCTCAAAAAGCTTGTTGATCAGAACTGTGCTACCACAAACAGCGTATTTTTTTACTTTGTTTCTGATCTCATTTCACCTAAATGAGATAAGTGAAAAGATGCAATTCAAACTCAAAAGTAAAAGACAACGGTAACTGACATCAATTCAGTTGCATGTAGAAGAGCATAAAGGTAGAATAATCGTTAAGAACATATGAGGTGTAAAGAAATGAGATAACCCTCTAAATAATAATAATCAATCATAAGCAATGCATGAAGTTTTCATTATATCCTTAAAATAACATCTTTTAAAAGTCTTCTCCTGAAACTTGATTATGAAGTTGCACAAATCCAACACAGTGACATGAATACATTATGACTTTGACAAAGTGGCTTCAAAAGATCGCTAAAATCGACAATCAACAAAAGTCATTTATAGAACAATCAAAACCAACTTCCATACTGAAACAGAAACAATTATTTTTCTCTAATCAATCATTGCAACACAACCTCTTACAATTCAAAATATATATCAATTTTGGAGTAATTGGATGTGTCAAGTTGCTCCCACAATACAGTGTAGTTGTATCATTGGAGAAACCATAAGCAACTTTGTCAATGTAGGCGATTGCGTATAGCCACCCTCAAGCATCATCTTCCTGTGAATGAATGTTGATACATGTACCATCCAGGAAAAAGTTAAGCATTATTTTTCAAACTGCTGTGAATGAATGTTACAAAAAGTTATTTGCAGAGCATACAGGCCAGTCCAATGATTTGAGTATGCTCTTCCACCGTTAATTCAAAATGTAATAAAAAAAAGTAAAACATCCATCTCTAATCAAGTTGGGAATTATGATATAAAAAAAGTTGGGAATTAGGAGGGAAAGGAAATTTCATTAGCAATTAGTGAAAATCAACCCACTTCGACTAACATATGAGGTCTTAGAGAAACAGTATATCGTCGGCTATTACCCTACCCATAAATGACCTTTAATAGAAGTAGGCACGCTATCAGATGTCACTTACATTCTTCCAAAAGGAGCATAAGTCTCAGCCTCAATAAAAAAAAAAGAACAAATGACTGTCAGACGGGTAGATAGATCAATAAGTATATATGTTATGCACTTGCATCTTGTCTCAACTATTGGAGCTGCCAAGAAAAGTACCAGTCAATGTTTCTCCAATACCTGCTCTTCATCATCAAGGGCCATCTTTCGGGCACCAGAAGTTTCTTGAGAAGGCTTGCTGGTTTTATCCTCTTCCACCACTGTTGTGGTTATCCAAGTGACCAAGGAGAGCCCTCCAGGAGAAGTCAAGGTAGTGCTTAGCTTCTTGTTCCACCACTGTTTTGGGTTTACTAAGAGAATTAATTGTAAGAGTCAGCATGTAAACCTTATCGCAAGTGGTTACTTGATCATAAACGTACTATTTGTTAAAGTGAAGCGGCAACTGGAGACACATGAAGTAAAACCTACCAAATGATCTCTTGATGCTATGTCTCGTTAGCATAAGCAACCATCTCCCTTGCCTTCTCACCTGCAGTACCAACCATAACAAAAAGAAAGGAACAATAAGCAAGCACCTGATATCACATCTAAAAGTACAAATAGAGATAATCAATAACAATATCTAAGTCAGCAAGAACAATAAGGATGGATGCAAGTTGTGATTTAGAGAATTTTTAAGAATGGAAGCATAATGTATAAGTCAACTTACTGGGTCCAAGATCTTGTTTCCAACAGGGAAGCAAAGAACAGTGGGGAACCCATCAGACTGCAAAGGGTCACAAAGATGAGAGCAGATTCAGTTTGTTAAAACATTCATAATCAAAGACATGCCTTTTCATACCAAGATTCAACACCTAACTTCCATTTGGTTGCTGAGAAAACAATGGCTAGAAAGATTGTAGAGAAAAGATTGGAACTTTCTAGCCTTACAGCAAAACACCTGTCTATTGTTGTTCACCTAAAAGAGTTAGCTATTTCTTTGAGAGTACCAGAGAACAGAGACTTACCATGGGAATGCAGGGAACTCCATCTCCGTTTTCTCACTCCACAATCCAATCTCCATCTGACCCATTTTTTGCATCCCTCTTCAACTTTGAAAAGAAACACACCAGAACATAATTAGTATTCAATAGTGGGAACTGTGACGGGGGAGAGAGAAATGGACGAACTGGAGAGGAGTGGGGCGGAGCAGGTCGCTCTTCCATTTATCAAGAGGAGCAGGGAAGGGACGTACATAAATGGTCGGTAGCGTGTTGAGCAGGAGCGAAGTGGGTTGGTGAGTGGTAGAGTGGCGTTCCCGGCAGAGAGTTCAAAGGAACTCAGCATGGTGAAAGGACGAAAGGACAAATAGGTGACCCGTTCTTGCATATTCCCGGTAAGGCCTACTGGGGTTTGTGTACGAAGAGCATGGCTGCTGATTCGACGTAGGTGCGGCGGTGGCAGAACTGTAAACGGCAACCACTCTGTTGTGGGGAGCTTCCCGCGTGAAGAAATAAAACTCTTTTTTCACTAACCGACGAAAAGTGAAACAGTAGCTTGATTGTTATAATTAACGAATGGAAATTGTAATTGTAGCTTTATAGTTCATCATAGTTACTACTTTGAATGTGGTAGTTTTTATTTTCTTGTGATAGAATCCCTAGTTGTTTGTAAATTGTAATTGTAGGAAAGTTGCTTGATTGTTTTAATTAACGAATGGATATTATTCCTTATATCGAAGACTAAAGCTATTTGATTGATTGACTGTTTAGTGGTTGCTTCATATTTTCTGTTGAACAGGTGTGTCTGTTTTTCGGAGAGGAAAATCTTGTGTTTGAACTCACTTAATGCACATTGACTTCTCGAACAACGATTAATAACACGGTTCACACCTCTCCGTACAATGTTCGAACGAGGGTGTTTGATGATTTTGATGGCCGATAAAACTAAGTTAAATTACTTCTATTCCTATGGAGGTTCAGTGAGAGCTCCAAAAACTAAAAGCTACAACTATGACTACATTGCAGAGAAAAGATAAGTTTGACATGTGGTGTCAAATGTTTGGTTGTGGAACCCTTTTACAATTTTAGTCTCTCCTATTTATAGACATCGAGGGTAACTGCCTTTGTAACCACTAGCTGGCTTGTTGCTCCAACCCCCAAGTCTCCACACTTAGTCTTAGAGAGACTGTCATTGTACCAACCTGTCATCTTGGTATCAAGCCAATCTTGTCGACTTGATACCCTTGCTCCAAGCCAGCCCTGCCGGCTTGGTCTCCATACTTAGCTTTTTTTGATCTTATCAAGTTGGTACCTTGCACCCTGCCGGCTTGATATTAGGGGGCTTAGTCTCCATATAACCCCATAAGGGGCTCTACGAGTCCTCATCATATTGACATCCTAGCCAATCCATCCATGGTTGTTTGATACCTAGTTGGGTGGGCCACCACATCTAGCTATCGCTTGATACCCTGATGTCTGGCATTCAAACCCGTCTTGTCGGCTTGATATCCAGACTTAGTTTTTGTATGACTATCTTATTTGGTACCTGGCTTGACTCCCTTTTGCTTGGCCACCAAGTCAGTCTTGCCGGCTTGATACCCCCTTGGGGTCAAGGTGCCCTGTCGCCTTGCTTGGCTGCCAAGCCTGTCTTGCCGACTTGGGGGTCCTGGTACCGAGGCTGCCTTGCCGACCTAGTACCTCCTTAGCTCCATACTTAGCCAAATTCATGGCAAATTTCATACTTGGGTACCACCCTTGTCTTGTCGTCTTGGTACCTTCTTGGCTTAAGACTTAGCCAAATTTCATGCTTGGGTACCAGATCTGTCTTGCCGACTTGGTACCCTGTTAACTCCATACTTAGCCAGTTTTGTGTATTTTGGGCTCCATACTTAGCCAAATTTCTTAGTTTGTTGGGCGGCCCCCTTTTTGGTACCCGGTCATTTGGCACCCCGTTATGCCGCCTTGTTTCCAGACTTAGCTTTTGGATGGCCTCTTATTTGGTATCCGGCTTTGTACCCGGTCGTTTGGCACCCCGCTGTGCCGCCTTGTTTTCCATACTTAGTTTTTGGGAGCCAAATTACATACCAAGGGGTGGAGGCATCGTCCGGCTATGGGCGCCACGGAGACGGGTCGGCCATCGTATAGAGAAGAAGGGGTTTGGCCACTTAGGCCCAAAAACCCAACCCAACAAGGCCTGGTTAGCTCTTTTAATTATTAGTGTTGAGATGACCTTATAAATCCATAAATCTCTTGTAATTTATCGATATGGTACAAGCTGATTTTTTTATGGGTAAACAAATGTCCTCAAACTTAGTGTATAAGAATTTTGCACTAAATTGTTGAAGCCCACTCTAACTCTGAAAATCAACGCGCCCGTGGCTATTGCCTTGGCCACAATTTGACTAAGTATCAATAAATCTCTAGCGGTAATTAAAGTGGCTGGAAACCTAGCTTGATTGAAACTTGAAAGCAACTTTTATTCTCTCAATCATCCACTCGCCTCGTCTTGAGCCAACAATTCTTTTCTTCAAAAGCAAAGATGGGGATTGTTATTCTCCTCCCACGTCAGCTTAATAATTATTCCCATGGTATCAAGGTTTGATTTAATTAACCAACCCTCGACCGCCACAAGTGATAAATGACTGCTCTTCCAGTCGTGTTTTTACTTCCGTCCATACAACTCCAAATTAAGCTCGACAATTGGACTCAATCTCGTTGATTCTATTCAAGCTTTGTTGGGTTACCATGCCATACTTTCAATCCCTCGCACCACATAGCTTGGTGGCCAATTAGTCGACATGGCATTTAGTACGGAACCGCTCTTTTATCTAGCTAGGTGGAGACGAACATGATGGAAAGGGATTCATAGTTCCTTCTCAAAATCGGCCTCCTGGCCAATCATTTTTTTTATAAATAATCTCATTTTGGTATATGACAAGGATCATTTGTTTCCTTCTCTTACTCGGTTGTAGTAAGCATCAAGCTATCTTTCTCTTCTTACCATGTTTGGCTAGGATTCTAATTTCCCTTATTCTTATGAAATTTTACCTCCAGCAAGTGAACTCAACAACAAACAAGACAATGACGATGTACGAGAGTCTAGCAGGCACTCCCATCCATCGTATGATGGCTGCCACCTACTTGGCTCCCTTGCCGAGGTATTCATTTATTGTCTTAGTTTTAAATTTACATTTTATTAATGAAGTGTGATACCAATCTACTTGGCTTCACCGTCTCCACTATCAATGTTATACTTTTATCTCACTATACCCTCCATGTCATGGCTAGCTACTCAAGCCAGACTTCATCATGAGGGTATCATATGCCTTAGAATGTGGAAGGCTTGGCATGCCGACCATCATGGTGGCCAGCTAACATTGAACCTGCTGACACCTCGCGTTCCATAGAGAAGGAACATAGGGCTTGAGAGACTTACCACTAATCAATCGATAATGTATCACCCCATCCTCTTTCAACAAGTAGACATCCTTGGACGGGTGGCATGGAATGTAAACGATCCATGCCGAACACTCAGTCAGCTACTCATGTCATGAAGTAGCATGGTGTACTCAAACGAGCATAAGGGGCTTCATAGATCCAACCACCTGACTGGTTGTTTACCAGTTACGGCAAAGTCTTCACATCGCAAGTGTTACAACTCTAACTTTTTTTTAGCCATGATTGGCTTTTTCTCTAATTTTACGCGTATTTATTTATTTATTATTTTAATATAGCAAAGAGTGACATGCATCACTGTTCTCCATACCCTTTGGCCACCACAAACGTGCCAAAGGTGTATGCCCACTGCCAAGTCCATGGATTAAACCAGACAAGCCATCCATAAACCACATGTTTACTCTCCTTAGAAAGAGATGGCTCTTTATCAGTTGGTTTTGAATTTCCCAACTCAACCATGGATTGTGCCTGGTCCACTTGTCTTGCCTTGGTGGCCTTGTAGGGTGTCTCACGATCCTCTGCCTTAGCCACCTTACTAGACATGTTGGGTTGATGTTGAACCTAATGTGCTTGTCTCGTTTCTGGTGATACTCTAGGTATTTTCAACTCATTGGGATCATGAAAGAGACCACGAGTTTTTATATTCCTTGGTTCACCCCACCCATGCTTGTTCATCCCATATAGTTGGGAAGAGGAGTGCTTGGACTCAACGAATCGATGACCACCCTTGTGGCCAACATAGCCCTGTTCAACCCTTACGCCTTGCTGACTTCTACGCGTAGCACATAACAACTTCTTGTTCTTTGTATGACCATGTTTGGTTATTGTATGTTGAGATGTCTTATTCATGCCCCCTTGTCTGTCATTCACGTTTGGCATGCCATGAGGGTTGTTAAGCATGGACTTGCTTCTTTGTCCATCCATTAACACACTCTCATAATTAGAAATTTTTTGAGTGGCTTGGGTGAGTTGCACATTCTTGGAATCACCCCTCATGCATTTATTCACATTTGATGACATGTTGTCCACTGCATGGATCCGGAGACATGCTCCCCATGCCATTACTCATGGTCAGTGACATGCCCCTCTTGCCACACTTGGCTAAATCATCATTCTTACTACTAGCATGTATGACATGGGGCTTCTGGGCTTTCTTGGATATGTCTATCTGTCCACTGCTAGTGGTTGATAACATGCATCCCACTCGTTTCTTTACGATCGATGATATGCCCCCTACTCTACTACATGGGGCTAGAGGCATGCCCCCCTTACCACACTTAGCTACAATAGCATTCTTGTTAGAATCACATGTGACTTGGACTTGTTGTAGCTTGTTGGGCACAACTGTCAACCCACTACTTGTGGTTGATGATATGCCCCCATGCCATACTTAGACAAAGAAAGTGGTGTTCTCTTGAACATAGCCCTTTGCAGCCTGACACTTCACATTCAAATTGTCAGGTGGTAGGCTTCCATGCCCCCCAAATGGTTGGGCTAACCCGTTGGGGATGGATGACACCAAAGTTGAGCAAGCTTTTGGTATTAAATCTACAGAAACTACTCCTTCCCCACTCGTCACACTAAGGCCAGATCTACCCTCAGGGGTGGTTCCTAGAGTAACTGTTTGCACAAGCGGATGTTCCCCATGAGTAGCGAACGTGGATGAGAGATTTTTATTATAACCGCTATGCTGAAAAGGTAGTTGACTTGTCGCCGGAGGCGGTAAGTTCCATGACCGTGGTT